CGCGCAGCTCTTGGCCGAGGGCGGGGGGCTCTCGACTGCCCCCCCGGCAAGGGCCGCCCGCAGCGGGGCCTGGTCGCGGCTCTCAGCAGGGCTGAGCGCCCTCACCGCTACACCCCCGCTACGCACCCCCACCTTTCTGCCGCATACCGTCCCGAAAAAGCTCCTAGTCCGCAAAAACGAGTATGGGAAAGGCAGACAATTATGTATCCAGGGGCTGATCTTTATCTGCTACTTAATGACTTGCCAAGTACTTATCACTTCCCAGACTAGGAACTGTCGCTTCATTCTAATGTAAATAAACCCTTTATACAAATAAGTTTCTCCTCTCGTCTGCTGAAGCAATAGGTGGAGATGAAGCAGGATGGAGCTGCAAAGGTTCATACTTCGTTGCTCCCTGTGTGTTTTCATTTATATGAATCCAAAGAATCCAATGGATTCAGCCCCCCTCCACCCTCGCTGCCCCTCCTAGAGAAAGGAAGGAAATAAGGGAGGAAAAGGAACACAAAAGGGACAAGGGACCTTGGAAAGTAAAAGAAAAAAAAAATCCACGTCTGGCTATCTTCTTGTCAGTTTAGGAGTGAGTTTTTAACATCCCCAATCCCTCAGATGTGCTTTACCATCGGATGCCAAAGCTAGAGAACTTACCAAATTAAAGGTTTCTTATGCACTTGCGGGTTTTAGTCTGTGTGTGTATGTGTGTGTGATAGTATTTTACAGAAATTACTTCGCAGCAGAAACAACACAAGTAGTTTCCCACAGCCTGGTTTTTGTTCTTATTCCTAGTGCTGCGACATCTCTGGGACGCAACTTGTGTCACAGAGACGAATCATATGTACGACCGCGATAATTATCGTGGGAAGATGAAATGCGCGGGCTCTGATCTCTTTATGGTCTCGGTTCTTCCTTGTAAATTAAATGCAAAATTCACTTTTAGATACCGAACGTGAAATTAAAGTATTTTTCTCGTGAATTGCACGAAGCCGTTGACTGCTGCCTCATTTACTGCAAAGGATAATTTATTTCACAGTCAAGAACGAGAGGCTAAAGATGCCACAGGGAATGGAGTGCTTATTTTCGTATTAAGTTGTGTTATTTATGTCTCAAGATAAAAGACGCCCTGGATTGGAAAACTACCTCTGCTTATTTACGGAATTGTTAAGCCACGTTAATAAAATAACAATCATTCCTGTTTGCTTAACTGAGTGCCACGCAAAACAGACTTTGCATTTAAAGCTCGGCTTAATTGCACAGGCTTGAGATTGCAGAGGTGCTGGTGCAAGGACGAGGAGGAATTGCTGTCATCCATGTCCAGCAGCTCTAAACAGAGAGGGGACTTTCGGCACAATAGATTTTTCTACTGGTGAAGCACAGATTTGATGCGATCACTTCCCTCCCTGCCCCTCGAAGGGATGTCAGCGGTTTTCTCCTGCGGTGTCGCCCGCTGTTTAAAGAACATGGAAAGCTGCATCCTGAGATGCAAAGAGCCGGGCTGGGTGGCTGGTTTCGGGGTTACAGGGATACTGCTATGATGTTGAAGCCAAAAGAAAGGGAGAGAAGCGAAGCTCTGACTACGTCTAAACATAAACAGCCCGGGGCTGGAAAGCAGTTCACCCCCAGGTCTTCGAGAGGAGCGAGGACAACGCACAGAGAATTGTGTCCACCTGGGCTTTGCCCAGGTCAAATGGTAGTTCTTCTGCCTACCGCTCCGATGTCATCTTTCTTTCTGACATATTTCTAAATAAGGTTGCAAGTGACCATGCACGCGAAGCCTCGGAGGGTTTCAAGACAAGCGCGACTCCCCTGGCCTGGGGCTGCCCATCGGGGCTCCCGTCCCTCCGCCGGCGCCCCTCGCCCGGCTTCGGGGAGGAGGCGGCAGCGGCCGTGTCCGCCGCCCGGGTCCCTGCGGGAGAGGGGGTCCACGGAGGCTGAGGCTGCTGCCGTCTTGCTCCGCTCCTGCGGCAGACCCAGGTGGGGCACCTCAAAGGCGGCTGTCCCGCCCGGAGGCCAGGCTGAGTAAGGCGGCGGAGGTAGAGTGCTGGGAAGAGGTAGCCCTGCCGTGCGACATGGTGGGTGAAGCCCAAGAGCCAAAGACTCTTTCTGGGTGGTGTCCAAAAACAGCAGGGGGAAAACTGATCTTTCAGCCTCCCTAAAACCACTGTTTCCCCACAACACACACACAACACACACACAAACACAACCCCCAAATCCCTCTATGAACCTTCACAATGGTGACTTTTGTGCCTCGAGTAGAGAAACCAAAGTCCTGCTGGGTTGAGGTCTGTAACTTAAACCAGGTTAGTTGCGTCAGTGAGCAATTATAGCATCGGAGTGGCTATTGCAAAATATATTCAATGCAAAATACCCCGGATTAATGCCCCCCCCCCTTCCCTGTGCTGAAACTTCTCGGTGTTACTCCAACCTCTGCCTGTGAAACAGCTTCGCTACCGTCAACATTGTCCAGATAAAATGAAAAAGTCATTGAAGGCTCCGGGTCTCGGAGCGGCCCGTTACGGACGCTCAAGGGAGCGAGAGGGAAGCCCGTGGAATTGTTTTTAAAGGCAGGTAACACCGTGGGAAAACCGGATGACCTGGGCTGCATGGAAACGTGCTAAAATGCCCTTTTTCTTTCTCTTTTTTCCTTTTTTTCCCTCAGTAAAACAAGAAAGAGGTTTTGAAAGTATAAAGTGTTGGAATTGACATTTAGTCCAGTGCTTGCACATTTATTAATTCTGCCGTGATGTGAGGAGAGGGAAAAAAGTGTAATTAGGCAGGAGCAGGTGAAAAATTCCAGACGATGAAATACAACAGGCTAAACGGGATAATGTATTCACCATTAAAAGACTGACATTTATTACCAAAAGGAGACCCGTTACGTTTGAATATGAAAAAAAGCAGATATTAAGCAACATACATTACCTTTTTCATATGACTTGAATCTCATTTAAAATACTTATTTATTTTTTAATAACCAACTAATCGGTGTTTCAGCGGAAAAGCCGTACTTGCTAAAATACCATCAGGCAAATGATGCACCTTTAACACGCTCCAAAGACACGATCCCCAAAGCAATCGATCACAGTAAAAAGTGTGGAAAGGGGGTTTCAAATCAGTGAAGTCAAAAGAGTCTTTTGACGTATTTGTAGTGTCACAAGATCAGGATGGGTAATTCATCTCACAAACACACCACACACACGTCTTTTCCATACAAATTCCACCTCTTAAAATAGATTTCAGCTTGATCCTTTCAGCTGACCTATTATTAACGCTAATGACATTTCAGAGGTAGGGTCTCCAAAGAGAATGAAGAGTACAGACTTGTATTTTGAATATCTAGTGTATTGGTAAACTAGACTTCTGTGCAACAATGTATGCGAATTTATCCATGTTTGAAGTATGAAAAGGACAGCTTCTTTCTCAAATACAAGAGAAAATTGAAAGTAGAATTAAAAAAATAAATAACCAAGCTCTCAGTCTTTGCTCCCTATGAGCTCCCGCTAAAGTCTTATTCTGATTACAGCCCAAATATTATTTCAGATAGTTAGACAAAGGCAAAGGAAAACAAATCTTCATAGTAGAACTGGCCAAGCAGTTTAAGGAACATTCATTTTATTTTGCTTCTTTTTCTCTCTCTCTTTTTTTTTTTTCTTTCGACACACCTGACAAAGCACGGAATCCACTCTGAAGCAGACTAGGAACAAAATTATGCCCTCTCTGTCTCAAGTGAATAAAGAAATAAAGCAAGGATCCGCTCTCCATGTCACATTCCATATGGTCCGTAAAGATTACCTGCAGGGGCGAGCTACAGACCCCGTTCAAAGAAACGCGCCCCTGTTTATAAACAGCAGAGGCAGCGGGCGCTTCATTCGGAGATAGAGAGAGAAAAGCCCTTGGTGGCTGATTAATAAAAAGGTGCTTTAGAAGACTCGTCAAAACCCTGTCAACCGGAGGAATGCAATCTCTTCAGAAGCGTTTGGGCAGTCAGGCAGGCAGCTGATTGCAGGCACGGTGGTGCTGCTGGGGCAGGGGCATCCCACCCCCCCCTCCACAGATACACTTTCCTCTCCGTTCCCGCGGAAGAGCTCCTGGCGGGGGAGGGCAGGGAGCGAGCCAGCACACCGGCGTGGAGACGGCCCGCCGACACGGGCGGCAGCCTGGAGGGAATGGGAGAAGAGAGGCCGACCGGGGCGTGCGGAGAAAACACACCAAGGAGTTTACAAAAAAAAAAAAAAAAAAAAAAAAAAAGAGAGAGAGAGAAGTAACATTTCGGGGTAAACACGCGTGGCAGAGCGCAGGGTGCGCCTGGGTGGGAAGAGATCCGGGGGAAGCACATACACATATAGGTGCGGGCATGCACGTCGTGCGTGTACCCGGGGTGCGTGTGCGAGGGCGACCGCGCACGTAAGTACCCGAGTGGGTGGGAGAGCGAGGTACGAGGCTGTAGGGGTCGGGCGGGTCGTCGCGCAAAATGCGCGGGTGCGGGGGGATCGCCGCGGGTGCGCAGACGCCCGTGCGAACCCGGGGCTCCGTGGCGCTCAAGGCGTCCGCGTGTGCCGGCGAGCGTGTGTGGCCGGTCCCCGAGCGATACAACTCCCGCGGCTGCTGCTGCAGGGGTTTTTTTTCCTTTTTTTTTTTTTTTTTTTCTCGCTCGCTCCTTTTTTTTTTCCCTCCTCATTCAGAGTCCCGGGTGTCTCCCGGTCCTCATTGGCCGCCTCGGCTCAGTGGGGCGGAGCTGGGCCGCCTGCAAAAGGAGGAAAAGAAAAAAAAAGAGAGGAAAAAAAAAAAAAGGAGACCGAGAGAGGAGAGGGAGGGAAAAAAAAAAGGAGAAAACTGTAAGTGCGTAAAAAAGTTCTCGCCGTGGTGACGGATGCTCAAAAGTTCAGGAGTTTTTCCGATGCTTCCCAAAGCAGCCTGCGACTGAAAAAGAGACTGAAAAAAGCGAGAGGGAGAGAGAGAGGGAGACTTTGCACTGGGAGATCGGGAAGGTGGATTTTTTTTCTTCTGCTCGCTTAAAAAAAGCCGACAAAACACATCCCTCTACTTTTGTCCCTCCTTTGCAGACAACTTGTTGCAGATCCCCGTGGAACAAGGAACTGGGACCGTGGGAGCCTCTTTGCAAAGGTTTTATTTTCTTAATACTCTTTCTGCGTTTGGAAGTTGCTTTCTCCGCTGCGATTACTTTTTTTTCCCCTCCGCCGTTTTCTTTTTTAAAACATTTTTTCCATTTTTTTGCCCCCCTCCTTTTTCCCCTCCTTTTTTGATTTTTTTTTTCCCCTCCGCGTGGAGCGCGGGAGCTCGCCGGTGGGCTTTCCTGGGCGAAGAAGAGGAGACTTTCGGCGCTGCCGTCGTTATTCTTTCTCCCTTTTACCGCGCTCCGCCGGGGGGGTGGGGGGGTGGGGGTTGCCCAGCCGCCCGGTCCAGCTCGGTCCGCGGAGCGGCGGAGGGGTGGAGGGGGAAGGGACGCGCTGTTTGGTCCGGCGGGGAGGGTGGGGGAAAGCTGACGGGAGGACATGCAGGCTCGCTACTCCGTGTCCAGTCCCAACTCCCTGGGAGTGGTGCCGTACCTCGGCGGAGAGCAGAGCTATTACCGCGCCGCGGCGGCGGCGGCCGGCGGGGGCTACACGGCCATGCCGGCCCCGATGAGCATGTACTCCCACCCGGCCCACGAGCAGTACCCGGCTGGCATGGCCCGAGCCTACGGGCCCTACACGCCACCGCCGCAGCCCAAGGATATGGTGAAGCCGCCCTACAGCTACATCGCCCTCATCACCATGGCCATCCAGAACGCGCCCGATAAGAAGATCACCTTGAACGGGATCTACCAGTTCATCATGGAGCGGTTCCCTTTCTACCGGGACAACAAGCAGGGCTGGCAGAACAGCATCCGCCACAATCTCTCCCTCAACGAGTGCTTCGTCAAGGTGCCCCGAGACGACAAGAAGCCCGGCAAGGGCAGCTACTGGACCCTCGACCCCGACTCCTACAACATGTTCGAGAACGGCAGCTTCCTCCGCCGCCGCCGCCGCTTCAAGAAGAAGGACGCCGTCAAGGACAAGGAGGAGAAGGACCGCCTGCACCTCAAGGACCATGCCCCGCCGCGCCCGCCGCCGCCCGCTGCCGCCGCCGCTGAGCCCGAGGGCGGCCCCGCCGGGGGCAGCGCCGCGCCGCCGCCCGTCCGCATCCAGGACATCAAGACAGAGAACGGCACAGCCTCGCCGCCGCAGGCCGTATCCCCCCCTGGCGCCGCGCCGCCGCTCGGCGCCGTGCCCAAGATCGAGAGCCCCGACAGCAGCAGCAGCCTCTCCAGCGGCGGCAGTCCCCGCAGCACCCTCCCCTCCAGCCGCTCCCTCAGCCTGGAGGCCCCCGAGCCCCCGCCGCCGCCCCCGCCGCCGCCCCCACCGCCGCCCCACCACCACGGCCCGGGCTTCAGCGTGGACAACATCATGACCTCGCTGCGGGGCTCGCCTCAGGCCGCCGCCGAGCTGGGCGCCGGCCTCCTGGCCCCTGCCGCCGCCGCGCCGCGCACCGGCATCCCGCCCGCGCTGTCCCTCGGCGGGTACTCGCCAGGACACAGCTCCGTCTACGGCTCGCCCTGCGGCCAAGCGGCCGCCGGCTCCGCCGCAGGCACCTACCACTGCAACATGCAGGCCATGAGCCTCTACGCAGCAGCGGGCGGCGCCGACCGGCCCGGCCACCTGCCCGCCGCCGCCGCCAGCCCCACCGAGGACCCGCTGCCCGACTACTCGATGCCCTCGGGCGGCGGCGGCGGCGGCGGTGGGGCGGGGGG